CCGTATATCTATGTCATGGGACCGCCGGCTTAACTTCCATCACCCTTAAAAATCCATCGACCTCGGCCGGGATTGAACCCGCGAACCTTGGGTCCAGAGGACAACAAAACATTACTTAATATTTAATTACCCTAAACCTTAAAACCAACAAGAAGAGAAGGAAAAATCCATAGCAAAGTCAGAAATTCAACAAAGGAAAATGAAATTTTTTTGGTACCAACTCAGAATTTGAAAATTCAGTCCTCACCTCAAATAAAAATTAAAGCTTCATCATTAAAATAATTAATCCTGTTTAGTGAAATAACCGTTGTTTATTCTAAAAATCACATTAAACCCTACACAAATATTCTGTATATAAAATGAAGATTTGAGAAATGTTAAATTATTTGGTGTGTTGGCACCACTGTACTTTAAAGGCTTAAACGTGTTGCATTAATTTTCTAAAATAAATTAATATTTATACTAAATCAACAGCAACATAATTCAATATAGACTATAAAATATATCTTAAATAAAAAATTTTTTTAATATACTGCAGAAAGTATTATTTGTAAATTAAAATATTCTTTTTTAAAAATTTTATAACTATTTTTATTTCACTCATTGTTTCATTATAAGTACCAACCTCAATTTATTCGTCTTTATTCGATTGCACTTACCTAAAGTCTGAAGAATGGGCTTTAGTTTAAAATTAATTGTCGCTCGAGACTTGATTGGTGTGAATGGCCCAGCGAGACATTTCACTTTGAAGCAATCGACTTTTTGACTCGAACAGTTGAGAAATAATGTCCTGTTCGACGGCGGTGGCACGAAATTTGGTGACGATGGCGGAAACTCATCATCGGAGACAGAACGTTTCGACACAACAGAAGATTTTACCACATTCGAATCTGGACCATCATCTTCTTTAAACGTTGTTGGGTCAATTTCTATAGAGACTTCTCCCTTTGAAGTCTCGTCAGACTTATAATAAAAGAACGGGTCTTCAGGTCCACAAGTAATAGTACCGGAAGACGCCGTCATTGACAACTGGAATCAAAATGGATTTACATATACCCTATGGATCGCTCACACGTCAATGAGTGGATCTCAAGAACACTAAATTTTATTTTGTAAAATATAACATATTTCTATATTACTAAAATTATTTTATGCCAATAAAAATTACGTCATTAACCATCATTTTTCATAGAACACTAATTTCTATGTTTATTTCATAGACCTTAATCAATTAAACCTTTCATTTTTTCGTGCTAATTATATTTATTGACTCCTGTAACACTTAATCGTACAATAAGAACACAAACTATTCTAAAACCTATTTAAAAGACAGTGTGAAGATTAAAATAAAGGTGGAATGTGCATACAATTTTATTTATTTGTTGAACGAGAGATTAATAATATAATAAAATCATATATTAATGAGATGAGCTGGTCTACTGATTATTCTGGCCGTTGTTTTCCTCAATAAGGCACGAATCATTCCGGGAGAAAACATTCACTATCCACCATTTATATTCGTCATATAATCCCATTCGACGATATATAAGTTTTATAGTTAAAATAGTACAGTTAAATATTCTAATAATCGATTAATCTAATTCAAATAATTATGTACTAAATACATAACACAAACCTGAGGTTCGAAAACTTGCATGAAAATTGTTTCCCCATTTGGTCCGTCCAGTTGATGTGGAATCTCAAATTCGATGGTGACTGTTTCTACGTTACTTGGTCCAAGATTCCAGACCTATAAAATAAAATAAATATTAACATATTTTGAAGTAATTTATTAATTCACGTCAAATTATTAGGTCTTCTAGTAGTATAATCATGTTAACGATATTTGTAAAGAATACAACACATCGAAATATGTAACATTATGGATTACATACAGAAAAATTTCGATGTAAATTAACATATTCGAAACTTTTCGTAAAAAAAAAATCTTTAAACATTACCTCGAAACTGTGGCTGAGTATCAGATCGTCTCTGAAAGATTTGTTTTGGGCGACATAAACTATCTGATCCTGACTGGAAAGTCTGTAATAAATAAGTCATTTTCTAGAATTAGGTATTCGGTTTTGAACCAGTATTATACATTTAAACCTCAGATGGGATCTATGGGAGATAGGAGTTGAAGGAGACTGGATTTTGTTGGCCCAGAACATGGTCCGGTGGAGGGCTTTGGTTAATTCGGTGATGAACCTTCGGGTTCCGTAAGCCATCTAGTTGGTTGGGTCCACTATTTGGGAAGCCTGAGGGGAAGAGACCTCTGGGGAGACCTAGACGTAGATGGGAGGATAATCTCAGGCGGGATCTATGGGAGATAGGAGTTGAAGGAGACTGGATTTTGTTGGCCCAGGACAGGGACTGGTCGAGGGCTTTGGTTAATTCGGTGATGAACCTTAGAGTTCCCTAAGCCATCTAGTTAGTTAGTTAGTTAGTTAGCTACTCATTAGTTTTGTGAATTACATAAAACTAGCCGAAAGTGGGAAGATCATGACATTGCCTGTCTGTCTGTCTGTCTTTAAACTCAACCAATTTCCGTAAAATTTTGTATTGGAAGTTTATACTAAATATTGTACAGCAAATTTCAATCTGATCTACAGCAGTCAAATATAATCAACTGATATGGAAAAACAAATCTTGGGGCCAAGTTCCATAAATGACTCCTGTCCATTCTGACACCAACAGACTTTCGTAGATATCTAAGGTCTTCTGGATTCAAACCCCATGTAGACTTGTGGATATATATACCATTCATTACGAGAAATACGCTGTTTACATCTTTAGTTCAGCAGCCCTGAAGATGTAGGCAGTATGTCCCACTCAAAATGTTGGTGTCTACCCACAAGCCCACACTGATGTAAAATCCAGAATACCAACATGGAAAATATAAAAATCCCTCTGAGTTTCGACTGGACAATCATTTCTGTGGTATGATCATTTGCATTACAAACGTTGTTATATTTATATCAGCACAGCCACCATCGTTAATTTCCAATCTGTGAAAATCATTTTATTGGCATTTCAAAGCCATAATGAAGCTAAAAGGAGGATTTTCGAAGCTTTTAGTTGTGAACGCGGCTAAAATAAGATGATCTTAAATCTCTATTCTTCCCTAGATAGGCTATTACTATGATCAAATCAAGAGCGATGACATGGACAAGCCATGTAGCATGCATGGTGGAGATATTAAATAAACAATTAGGGAAAACCTGAAGGCAAGATCAGCTGGTGGTCTTGACACTGTTCGGAGTTTTCTTAAATTCGGTCTTTAAATAAATATGATTTGAGACAACAGACCCAAATAAGTGACTCAGCGTAGCGTCTAGTGGCGGTCCCTTGTACGCACAATAATGAACCTTAAGGTTCTATAAAAGGTGTTGACTTTCGTGTTCAATTGGTATTCTCAAAAACCAGAAATCTCCTGCATGAAACTGAATATTGAATGAAGAACAAATGATTATTAAAAATTAATTTTTGAGAACTGTGGTAGAGTTTAACGTCAATACTCACCCCGTTATAGTCATGTCAGCCTGGATTACTATTGGCAATACCAACTTCTTATAATTATCGACAGCAGTCGATTCATTTCCAACACTCGTTGCATTTATTGAAAATACGAGACTCGTGGTGTCGACAGGTATATCCTGTGTGTTCATCACTACGATGATGGTATTCTGTAAAGCGATCAGCCAGATTTGATAAACTCTTTGCATGAAAAAGCGTTTTATTAATTTCTACACGAAAATACTACGAATTTAATTAATATTACAGGAGTGTGTTCGGTTATCTGGTGTAATTATATATTCAAATATAAACTAAACTCAAATTTGAAATACTGTGATCAGAAACTTTTATGGTACACCCACTCCCACACAGACCAAGTTTTGAAAGACAAATATGTCTTCCCCATTTTGCGTACACATTATGCATATCGTTAAAAATAATGCATAAAACGATTATGTACTTTACGGTGTCAGTAATGAGTTTTTTTATTAAAAATTCATATTGAAGTCTTCCGTTAACATGAGAGACAGTTCATTTCTTATATTAAATAATTTACGTCAACTGCCGATACAACCTTACATCTTAAATTAATTAAAAGTAAATTGAAGAGGATGTTTGTTATACAACTCATACCTCACAATATTTCCAAATTTAATCTCGTGTCTCGTTTACAAAAAAAAAATGACACGCAATCAACCGACAAGGTATAACCAACAACGTAAATATGATTCCAAACATAAAACGTAAAATATATTACATTTTTTCAGTAATAAATGTTACTTTGAAACTGTTGAATATTAAATAAATTATAAAATAAATAAGCCCGATGTTTAATAATTCAAAAATATATAACTAGTTCGGTGATAGGAAATTTTTTTAATTATTTCATTCTTGAATAGTCGTTAAAAAGCAGAATAAATGTTAGGAACTGATGTCCAAAAATGGCATTTTAACTCCTGTAATTTCTAAGAATTTGTAGATTATTTAATTTCTTTCCAGACTCTCTGAAACAGTCATCACCTAACAGAAATCCTCGATTTGAACCACCCCAATTAAACTGACGAGTAAAACAAAATTACATTTTTCTCCAAAGGGTTTCCAATGTCGCAGACCAGGGTTTGTACTTCGGTTGCGTGTTTCTCTGTCGAATCCTGGCAGTTTGGTGGAATTCGGACCAACGGCGTTACTCTGGGTATAACCAAAACGAGACGAGCCAAAAAGGCCGGTTCTCCTATGTTCTGCACTTCAACCTCCATCTGCAAGGTCGTCTGCTCACCAAGAACAAATTTCTCCCTGCAAAGTCGAAGGCGTTATATAACCTAATATTCACACTGTATTCGAACCCAAGATAATTATTTTGCGTAATAATCATAAAATAGGCATATAAGATATGTAGGGCTATAATTTATAAAGTTACTAAATATGTAATTACCTCTATTTTATTGCTACTAAGGTTATTGGATTAGATGCCTATTGTTTATACATAGAAGATTCTTGACGTACTACTCCGATGTTCGTCCAATCTGTTTCCTGGGACTTTTACCCAGACTATTGAGTGACTCATGTTACTTTAAGAAAATTTATTTGGTCGACGTACCGGCTGGTCCGGCATTTAAATCGATAGCTGAGGGTTTGCCGTACATTCTCGTCCGGCTGTAAGCCTAATTTCAAAAGCCCATAATTATGGAAAGAATAACGAATTCTTAACAGAGCGATATTATTTACTATTTTATTTCTTTAAGTCTGACAGGGTACTTACTTTATCCCAATAAATCTTGCATCAGCTACGAGATCTGGTTCACATATATCTCTTTTACATCCTGTTTCAAACGCTACCCTCTTTATGATATACGTTGGCTGTCTGACGTCCACCACTGGGCAATTCATACAGAACCCATCTGAACCTGAAATTGAAATCTCTTAACTTAACCTTAAACAGTGGCTTCCACTTGGAACAAAGGGTCAATCATTTATTTCACGTCAAAAATGACAGATACTTTAATATTAGCCAAAGAATACAATAAACTATATGAAATAAACCACGATCTTGATTTTATTTAATTAATTTATATATATAATATAAATTATAAAGCAACGAAATTCTTGTATCCTGGAGAGAAAAAAATATATTTGACGCATTAAAGCTAAAAAAATATATAATATATTTTTGTTGTCTGCGTTCGGTGATTTTATTTATTTCGAATCTCTTCCAGTCTTCTGCTACTTTCTGATTATAATTCCATGAACAGTGAAATCTAAGAAATTCACATTTTATTCCCAATTTACATCTTTCCTTACGTCACTGTAATCGACAGTTAGATACACCGATTATGAAGCATGCAGTAACACCCATTGTCAATTTGATTAGACCCCTTCTCAGTACGTACATATCGTAGACTTAAAACTTCATCTTATGATCTACGTTTACAAAGAAACTTTTTAACGTATATTTCATTACATTGACGTCACTGGCTTCCATATTGCTTACGTCAAGTTTATCGTCAATAAAACAATTATCTGTGTTCATCATGAAACTAGAATTTTGTTAATGTAACATTTGTAACAAACCAATAAAGTTAACTTACCACTATTGTGTGTGTCTTCATTGGGATTGTTCACGAGTTCATATTTCATAACCACGTCTATCGGTCTGGTTGGATCCTTACTACTTGGCTATTAAAAAGGAAGTTTAGTTTCTTAGTGCGATATTAAGTTCAGTTAGGTTAGGTTAGGTTAGGTTAGGTTAGGTTAGGTTAGGTTAGGTTAGGTTAGGTTAGGTTAGGTTAGGTTAGGTTAGGTTAGGTTAGGTTAGGTTAGGTTAGGTTAGGTTAGGTTAGGTTAGGTTAGGTTAGGTTAGGTTAGGTTAGGTTAGGTTAGGTTAGGTTAGGTTAGGTTAGGTTAGGTTAGGTTAGGTTAGGTTAGGTTAGGTTAGGTTAGGTTAGGTTATGTTAGGTTATGTGTAATATACAGAATAAATAAGAATGCGCGGAAAGTTTGCAAATATTTGTTTTACAAAGGTTAAAAGACATACAGAAAGAAACCTTGTGCCACTGGAAAGAAATTTTTTTTAAAAAAATCTAGAATGCAGTAGAAGTCGTTCCAACGAACACCACTTGGAGCGTAACTGTTGACATGACAGTAAAATGACATTTTCTGTGCTCGAATTCCATTCCATTTGTGACCGCTTTTGTACAAATTTCCACAAATATCCTCCATGTGTGAATTCAATTTCGGCTTCAGTCGACATTTTTCTGCCTTAACAACAACTGCGCTCATACTGTGACAGTCTTCTAGGATATTATGCCGTGTAATATCGTAGAAATTGACCGACGTTTCAGAGATGTTTACAGCCTTCATTATATCACAACATAGAAAATAAGTCTTACACGGCATATGCTACAGTCATTCATTATTAATTAATTAATTAATTAGTAGATGTTAAAGAGTGAAATTCCTTATTCATGACGATTATAAAGAATACGAAATCGAAACCTTATCTCGAAATTTCCGCCAGAAACAAACCGTAACATGATTTGAAGTAGGTTTCCATGAAGGGCAACTAGTTTTTGGTTTTTGTGCAGATGAAATCACAAATTTAATTATAAATTACTAACACCCTTAAACAAAAATAAATAAATAAGTTACCTTACTAAAAGAATTACAGTGGTTTACTTTTTGATCCAAGATATTTTCATACTTATGTATAATAAGAGCCCATAAAAATACTAACTCCTGTTGCTGAGTATCGAAAACAAAGCGATCAGAAGATATTAACTTTAACGAAACAATTAGATTTCTCTTACCCTAATTGCAATGTAGAAGTCTTTGCACTGGGGTGATTCACTGCGTAGTTTGACTTCGTATGTGTAGTTATTGGAAATCTTCAACTCCTCAGAGATGAAATGGGCCCTACCGTATGACAGATCCACTGTCATGGTTACCTTGGCATCTGTTTATAATAAAGAAACGTATAAATTATACACACAACACATTAATTCTTCAGCATCAATTTCCACGACGTCGTGGATATTAAGATTTTATTTATTAGACGATGGAAAATATCCAGTAAACTCTTTACTTCAACGACAACGCTTGCTGTATATATAAGTTACCAGCTGTTTCCGGAACGTACGATCCCTTGTAACTAAGACACGCTCTACTGGAGAAGTTTGAGGTCTTTAAACTGATTCTGCTTGTGCTAGTGGTCAGTTCTGGGTGGAATGTAATGATAGGATGCCCTCTCAGAACTACAGCGTGACCGGATTCGAAGGCTCCTACAGCCACGTCTGAAATAAAACGGACGTTTCGTTACGGAGATTCTGTATTACATACGATGCAGAAACTGATCCTTTGTCGTTTGTGTTGGGGAGATACACTTTTCATTTCAAATTTCAACCTGGGTTATCAGCTATAACAACGAAGGATATTCGTGATTTCTGAAAAATTTTATAAGCAAACGTTGAAATTCGAAACAGGCTACGAGTGCTGTATTTCTTTTTTATTTCATTAAAAATCGCAAATTTTTAATATTCAATAAATTCGTTTTGTGTATACACAGCATAGTTTTCGTAATGTTTGATTCTTGGAATAAACTATTTTTTCAAAGTAGAATCAACAGATTTAGATTTATAAAGAAGACGCGTCTTTTGAGGTCTGAAGTAAATTTTGAAATACTTTTTTAATTTTTTGCTTCGTCGTGTTAAACAATATAACTTTAAATAAATTTATGAGAATTGATGTTGACAATATTAAAATTTCTGGTAGTATTAACAGTGAGCGAGGGCCCTACTAACCCAATTGACCCTACATAAACACTTGAAGAAACACACATATCCACGTTCTGAAACGTCTTTTTCCTTTTCAGAATTCCAGACGACGGACAGAACACAGAGATACTCGTATATCATCATCAGAGTCGTTTAGAAATGATTAAAATTTCTGTTATTCTTTACTGACGAACACCAACGCACCATTATAATGGTTTCCATCAACATCCACGCCACCCGACAAGCTGATTCCAAAACCATTAAGTCCTGGATCAATTTTCTCTGCGAAGATTTTCTGCACTGGCTCAAAGATAATACCAGACTTATCGCCATGATAGATAAACACAACACCATTTCCCTCGTACGGGGCACCAACTGCGATATCTAAAAACAAAGAACAAAGACATCTGAGGAAGAGCCCTTTAGACACCAATAGCCCCTTGGCTAGTCAAGAAATTGTCCGAATGTTGAGTTTCGTGTTCATAACACATAATTTCTAGTAAATTTCCTTAAGTTCCATTTTCAAATTATTCTCCTATTTACGTAATGATTTTGAATCAAAATTTTTGTACGCGTCTCTCTCTCCTACATGTCCTGCCCAACTAATCCTCTTTCATTTCGCCATCCTAAGAATACGAGGTGCGATCGGAAAGTTTCAAGACTGCGCCTATAAAAACCCGTAAACTTATCTCAGGTATTAAATTCATCCATCACCCTCGAAGTAGTTCCCCTGGGAGTGAACACAACGATCCCA